CCCCCCGCGCAGGCTCTCGCCTAGGCTGTGGCTCCATCCCGCCCAGCCCCTGTGCGCGCTCGGGAGGCGACAGATCAGTGGTTCTCTCTCACATCCATGCTTCTTCCTCTCTCTCTTTAAAAAAGAAAAGAATCAATAAAAACATATTCTCCAGCGAGGATTAGAGAGAGAGAGGCGGTTCCTGGCCAGGCCGCCCGGGGCTCCTCCACAGGCGGAGAGGAAGGGGGACTGTGCCAGCCGCGCTCCCAGGTGGTGCGGCCGCGGTTTGCAAACCCCCACAAGGTTCCAGGTCACCGAGGGCCCAGCGCTTGTGTGTCTGTGGGTCCAGTCTGTCTCCACTTGCTGTGTTAGAAATTAAATAGAGTTTGAACATTTATTTTATCCATTTTAAATAACAAAAAATGCATTATGTGTGCCTAAGATCATAAATATCAGACATTTTATGAAAAATAACTATACTTCCCAAAACAAACAGACTTCCTGAGAAAAATGATACTGTTCTACAAACAACTGCATACTCATGGCCAATATTTGGAAATCTCTTTAATGTCTCACCTAATAGAAGAACGCAGGGTTCTCAAACCTGCTTCCGCACCTAATTGCTTTTGAGGGAACATGTCTATGTAGCCCTGCAGCCCCCGGGCACAGAGAACGCTGGGTGGTGGTGAGTGGAGGCCTTATTCTGTTCCTGCAGCACTAGGGGAGTTCCTCTGCACAGACACAATTTATAAGGCGGACACCTCCCGCACCCACCCCAAAACAAAACAAAGGTGCTACTATCAAAAACAGTCCAGTCCTTGCACTTAGAGCTGTTGTTATAAGCAGTGTTGAAAGATGGTCCTAAATCTTTTTATTTTGTCCTTTTCCGTTCCTACTTTATGAAGAGACAAACTTGTGCCCCATCTTGTTACGGTTTGAGGGTGAGCGTTGTGCCAAGTGTAACCAGTGCAGGGCCCCAAAGTGTATGAAGCTATGAAGGGCCATCCCAGCCCCTTCAGCATCTCTCTCTCTTACTGGATATTCCTGACAGTTTACTTTGCCAGTGAAGCTATGGACCTATCACTTGGGGACTGTGAGCTTTGCAATTGAAAAACCAAAGTCCAAAATTTACTACAGGTTCTCAATTACGTTGGAAAAATTGGAGAAACTGGAGCATTGTTTGCAAGGAGAATAGGAAGGAAGGAATTCAAACAGAATTTATTTATGGAGGCCCCAGGTGCAGACGCTCAGGTGTGCTTTGTTTTGACCACAGGAAATGCTGTTTCATGCTGAAATTCCCTAAATTGAATTCTTTATTTTTTCTCTCTAATTTTCACTTTTGATGTTTTTAAATACAATATTTAAGAGCTAAATAACTCGCCCTGATCGGTTTGGCTCAGTGGATAGAGCATCGGCCTGTGGACTGAAGGGTCCCGGGTTCAATTCCAATCAAGGGTATGTACCTTGGTTGCGGGCACATCCCCAGTAGGAGGTGTGCAGGAGGCAACTGATCGATGTTTCTAACTCTCTATCCCTCTTCCTTCCTCTCTGCAAGCAATCAATAAAATATATTTTTTTTAAAAAGAGCTAAATAACTCAAAACAGGTCATAGGTTATGTAAGCAAGACCAAGCAGCAGAAATAAGAATTAGCAGTTTTTCTCTATACACCTCTCCCACCCACTAAATGTACTATCCTCAGCTTGGTGCTTCTTATCTTAAAATGTGTGTGTGTGTGTGTGTGTGCGTGTGTGTGTGTTTTAAGCAATACAAAGTATTGTTGTTAGTCTTTACACAACTCTACACTGGTAACTTGCTTTTCTCACTCGGCATTCTATCTGTGAGACCAAGCACTTGGAGGAGTATAGCTCTCATTCACTTGGAATGCTGTATCGTATTCCACTGCATAACTAGACCCCGTTTATGTATCCATCGCCTTTGGACATTTAAGTTGTTTCAAATTTATAAATTCAAATTTATATTTATATTTTAGTTGCTCTTAAAAGTAGTGCCGTGGTGCAGGTTTCTGTAATGTTCTGTGCGGGTTTTCAGAGTGAAATGGCAGGATCATTGGGCAGGTGCATCTTCAATTATATTAGAAAATCCCTGACTTTCTCCACAACTGTGCCCTTTGAAGGATACGGGTTTCCCACTTCATGTGCTTGCCAACATAGTTGGTAATGTCACACTGTTACATGTTGCTAGTTAAGTCAGCCCAATGCTGTAAAAGCTGTCATCTGATTTTATTTTGCATTCCACTATTTACTACTCAGGTGGGACATCTTTGGCCAAGTGAGAGTTCTCCGTAAGAAATTCCTTCTCATATGTTTGCCCTTTTGCCCACTTGGTTTGTCTTCCTCTCATTAATTTGTAGAAAACTCACTGAGTTCTACCTTTGATGTCGCATGAGGGCACGCCCCAAGGGACATGCAGACGTGCGCGTCCTGGCCTCTCCCTGAAGGAGCGCAGGCCAGCAGTGCCTCTTCCTGACAAGACAGGTGACAAGGCCCACTTCTCAGAGGTGACATTTGGGAAACGTCCTTAGCAGAGTGTCTGAGGTTACAGATCCCCGACGAACCAGGCTTCTTTATCATCATCTTCTCACCAACTCCTCCTGTCGCAATCTTTCCAGTTGCAGATGTTTTTGCAAATATTCTTAGAAGCTTATGCTGTTAGTCACAGGGCTGGGTCATTTAGGCTGTTAGTCACAAGCAGGTGAGGGACTCTTCCCATTGGTTGATGTTTTTTATGAAGTGAAGCAGCTTCCTCTGCAGGTCGTCACCTCCTCCGGAGAGCAGGCAGCAGCGTAAAGCAGCACCCTGTGTGTTCCGGAGGCATTGCTCAGTTCAGCTTTGCTGACTTTTACCTTCAATCTATTTGATCCTCAAACCAGGATATCATACATATTCAGAAGAGTTGCAAGGCAGTTATTTATATTAGAGATTGTATACTCTGATGTATATTTTATACATAGTACCTTGTATTTGTTTTAACTAAACATCAGCGATTTCCCAACTCTAAAGAAAGAGTTTGTAGTGAGAATGAAGCAGAAATATGTTTGCGTGTCGTGGTCAAATCAGGCCGGGCCAGGAGGTCGGGGCTCCACGAAGCTCTCTACACCTTAAGGCTCTCCCTCCTCACATTTTTCCTGAGACACTTGAGAATACACAGCAGCAACTCTATAGCATCCTTTGTTGCTGAAATGAATGAACCTCTACAGATGTAAGAAGTACAGGGGTGACAGAAGAATAATGCTAAAAACATTTGGTTTCCTGAGGTTCTAGGCCTAATTTCTCCCTCAGCTTCCATTCGTCAGACCATCATTCACTCAAGTATTTGTACTGTTCCTCCAACGTGCTGGCACTTTGTGTGCCAGAAGCCAGGCAGGGGAAGAGGCGGCCCCCTCAGAGCTTGCAGTCTAGAGTTGAGCCTGTGGAGTGGGGAATGGGAAGGTATAGGGAGGTGGCCACTGAGTAAGAAAACGTAAAGAGAAGATTTCAGGTTAGTGAGAAACATGAAAGATATGGAATCTGGTGAAGGGGTAGTGAGGGTGTTGGGAAGGCTTTCCTACATAATTGACAGCGTAGCTGAGGCCTGAGTGATGAGGAGCCACCAGGTGGATAAGCGCATGGATGAAGAGCTCTCCTCACAGAAGAAACAATAAATCTTGGAAGGAAGAAAATTTAAAATAATAGAAATGAAGTCTGTAGAATACAGTGACTAAGCAGGAGTGTTGATGGATACAGTCACTGAGGCAGGAGGAAGCCCAGGGCCTGTGGGCAATAAAAAGAAGATTGGATTTTTATTCTAGGCAAAATTAAAAACTATTAGGCAATTTAAAGCATAAAAGAGATATCATGCTGACAATTAAAATCCCACTAGAATGGCAAGTTACAAAGACTGACAATACCAAGTGTAGAGAACATGGAATGACTGAAATTGTCACGCAGCACCTAGGAAAAGGATTTGGTATTATCTACTCCAGCTAACTCAGCCAGTCCCTGAGGGATACACCAGATATAAGTGCATACATACTAGTATATTCAACAAAAGAGATACTTGCTAGAATGTTCATGGCAGTAGTATTCATAACATTAAAAAAACAGAATTTACCGGAGAAACCA